GATTGCCATGCTTGCAGATTTTGGGCAATGCTTTCACGGGTCGTTTCGTAGATTAAACCCATGTTATCTGCGCAAACTATGGGCGCCTATCTCTGGTCGCATGAGGCATTTCAAGTAGATTTCTAGTACATTTTGGCCATAATGCTAAATTTTTCTGTTACGGTTGTGCTTATCCGCCTGCCTAGTTTCCTGACTGCCAGTCCCCAAAGTTGTAATGGTTTATTTGAACAGACATCACGCACTGACAGCGTCTTCGCTTATTCTACCTTCCTCCAATCTCCTGTTCATTAAATTTTTCTCCCCAAGGATGTCAATGGGATCCCTAACCTTCCACTTCCCTTGTGTTTTCACCGTATGAGGCCCTTCTTTCTGTTGTCTTCCAATTGATCTCATGTTCATTCTGTGCGATGTGTTCCGCTAATTCTGATCTTTCAGTATCCATTTTCTTGCGGAGCCTTTGGTGTTCATTGATTTAAATTTCAATTTTTTATCCGTGTTTTGCCAATATATTTCTATTTGTACGTGCCGCATGATAAACAGTAAACTCATGAACAATCCAATTTGTCTACCATTTCATGTTGCGTCGGTAGACTCGTGAAAAGTATTGATATTTCTTTCATGACCACTCGAATATTCCATTTCCTTAATATTGGCCGCAATTTTTGAGTTAGTTCGCAGGAAGGTAGGCATATCCACTTTTGTGAATCGTTCTTCGTCCTTATTGTTCTTTCATAGTCCCCGTTCTGCCATCGGCTTATCAGGGCCCGTATGTTTCTTTGTATTACTTCGCCTGGGTAGCCGTTGCCGAGGAAGATCCTAGTCAATTTGACCAACTTCTCGTCCCGGAATTCCACATCGCTCGATCTCTCATAAAGCCTGTCAAGAAGTTCCGTCTGCACTAATGCGCTTAATCGCTGATGCAAATGCCCCTTTATGACTCTAAGAAGTCTAGATAATGCTCAATCTGCAAAAACCTTGTATTTCACTAATAGACGGATGTTAAGCATGTAGCTTTTAAAGTGGCCTAATGGAATTCTAGCTGGTTAGTATGCTCTTCATATAAATCATAAATTCTTAGGTTTCGAGTGACAATCCTTTGTTGTGGATTGTTTATAAAATCCTAATTAGTTTGTCCTGTGTGGCTTGAGCAGTAAGGTCAACATGGCTCCATGATAAATTTGCTACATACGTACACAAATTGTGTCTTTCACAGACGTTCAGACTTCGACAATAGTCAAGTAGTCGGTCAACAGTCATTTGCATAATACATGACTAGTTAGACAAACAAAAGGCCCCAATCTTGGTCTTTATATAAGATTTTTTAATAATTTAGTATTGAATATTTATGGATGAAGAAAATAAATGCATGCTTATACATATGGAAAGTTATTCAGCTAAATACGTATTTAAAATATGAAAAACTATATTAGTGAAATAAGGCCTTCTAAGGAATGGATGTCTATCAAAGACCCAAATAACGCAGTAAAATAGAGTATTCTTAGTTAGCAAGAAATGTTGGAATAAGTATGCACTTCTAATTCATGTTTGTTAAAGAGCTAAAACGGCAACTGCCTATAATTTAAGAGCTAAACGGAATGCAATTTGTGTTGCCAATTGGGATATTCAAAAAACAGAATAAAAGAAACATGGGTTGAAAGTCAACAATATGTAAGAAGTTTATACAACAAAAATAAAACCAGGATCACAGAATGCGTATATTAGGTGTACCTTGTGAGCCAGAGTAAGAGGGCACTATCAGAACTGGTGCAGGTGCGCGCACATCCCAGAGACGTGCAGTGGCATCCGCGCTACCTGAAACGAAAAGTGATCCCGGTGCCCAAACGGACAAGCTGTAAATGGCAGCCGAATGCCCAGTCATCGAGCGGATCACACTAGCCGGGTGACATGAAAGTGAACCGGCATTGACGCCACTGCCGGAAATGGCTGGGTCGTGACGAAGGCTGCAGGCTCGCTCTACGTCTACGAGGTAAACACGTGAGTCACCAGCCCCAGCAGTTAGCAAATGACTAGAAGCTGATGCGCTGGTGGCAAGCGACCCAGAAGATGGATAAGCAGAGAGCTGGAACGAAAGGTAGAAAGACAATGAGAATGTGAACAATGGCAAATCAAAAATGATAGGAGTGGATACAATAAGAGAATAAGGGGAAAATTCCCTAAGTAAAGAATATGAACAGGAAAGAGTACCAAAAAATGAAGAATAAAAGAAGAATAGGAAAAGAATAGGTAAAAATAAGGGGGTGGAAGAGATAGGAGTGGCAATCGGAATATATAGAAAGAGGAGTTTGGGAAGGCATATAAGCTATAGCTAAAGGGTAAAACGTGAAATAGAAAAGGCAGTAGAGCCGCTATGCAAGCATTGTGCGCTTGTCGCCATACTTAAATAAATGAATAAAAAAGGTCAGGGCTATCATTTGGTGATTGAAGACGCAAACTATACTTGTTATAGGGAAGAATTACAGAAACGATAATAGAAAAGATATTGAATAAGGAAAGTGGAATATATACAGCATTTTTGTCGGCAAGGCTGGCTATGTTATGGAAGTGATGAGGGTAAGAAAATTCATTCCACTGGCCAAATTTTGGCATAAACTCTGCTCGCCCAGCCTATCGAACATCCATAGTCTTAGAGAATGAGAAAGCCTATTTTAAGAGCAATTTTGTTTTCAGCTGAATCTGTAGGCGTCACAACTGGGGTAAATTCGCATCGTCTATGCCAGAAAAAAAGTTAGTTTGAAGAAAGGCGAACAAGTAACAAGGAAGCACAGAAATCCATAAAGCAAATTTATGCAACTTATCTGCCGTAAAATAGGGCTGATCCAAGGGAAAGTTTGGCCACAATAGTGTAATATCACGCTAAACTCAGAAGGAAAGTGTTTATATTAATAATTTTCTTGTGCTTGGAAAAATAATAGTTCACTAACATTCAAGACATTCGGTCCATACCGGTTAAATCAAGAGGTGGTAGAGTCGGGGTACTTCTTCTCTGAAGTTGACAGGACAAGGCTCAGTGAGTGCGATTAAACCCAAGGGTTTGAATACAACTGCAGGAATAAGTATGTTAAGATAATGCGAAAATGGTTAGCATGCAAATCAAATATGTGGAATAAGCAGCAAAAGTTGAGCCTCCTTGCTGCACGGAAGCCAGAGTGAATTCTTTTGAAATAAACACAGCTGGGCAAAAACGAATATTATGTAAATGAATAAGACTTAGGCCAGAACACTTTATGGATAATAGCTGTCGTTAGTAAGAGCGGATAGTAACAGATGCCATCAATTCAGCATAAGGGAATAGTTTAAATCGATATACCTCAGTTTTTACTTGTCTGTACAATAAGCTATCCACTAATAACTAGCAAATCTTGGTGAGAATTCCAAGGCTGAAGTTGAGTGCTGCCATATTTTACCTTGGTTAGTACAACAGGGGAGAGCTTTGTTGATAATACATAACAAAGCAGATCTACTACTAAACGAAAATCAGAGCAACTAGGATCACAGGTTCTGCCTCATTCACCACATTCTCCAGACCATTCTTCCGAGATTATGGCATCTTAAGATAGCCTTAAGTTATTGAAGCTCGGATAAATTAGATTATTTACAAGTTGCATTACGGACCCAAATTTTTATGAGAGCTAAGTGCGGATGAAACGATGTGGCAATCAGAATTGCAGTTCATCCTGGATGAATAAACAATTTTTGGATATATAAATAAACTCAGTAAAAAAAATCTGTCCTTTTCTAAAATTGTATCGTGATATGAGTAACTGCTAGTATAATACAAGAACCAGTTAAAACTGATATACTCACAATAATCAGG